GTATGTAGTGCATGAATGTCCGTCAGGTAACCTCCACAACAAACCTCTAAAAAAACCCTGCATTTCAACTGGGACCCCCTCCTGTATCAACTTTATTTAATGAACTTCTTTTGATTTGCATGGAAATGAGATGGACACATACAGGCCCATCCTCTGCTCCCGCGTGGCCCAGAGCCCCTCGGCTTCCCACCCAACTGCACCAGGGACACTTACCCATCCCCGTCCAAGTGGATAAGGGTATCGCTCCACAGTGGCAGCACCAGGCCCATGGTACAAGTACTACTGCAATGGAAAAGAGATAGTCAGGCAGGCGTGTTCCCAGGAGTCAGCCTGCTCATTTCACAGTGACGGTAGCAATTTGTATTCATCAGAAATCATGAATAAATCTCATGGCAGTGCAGAGACACCATGCAGTCAGCCTTGCTTGCTACAGGTGTCCTTGGCAGACTGAAGTGGTGTCTGACACGGGCTGTTAACCAAAGCTCGCATATGCTAATGCCCTTGGCAGCCAGCACAGAGCGCGCGCGTCTCCCCAGGGGAACAGCGAGCAGGATTTGGAAGCGGTAGGCTCTAGGAAGGAGGGCAGAGGGTCATGCAATCTGCAGTCAGCTCAAGGAGTCAGTGACAGGAACGGTCCCTATCTTCTCTCGGGTGCTGTCAGCCTGAATGGCTCAGCGCTGGTTCTGGCTTGGTTTGTTTTGGTCGGCAGCTTGGACAGGTGCTGGGACCGGGACAGTATTACTCAATGCCAGCAGAAACAACAGCACGCAAGATTAACGGCAGGACCATAGCGCTCCCCGTACCCAGCAGCTAAGCGTGGATTGCCGGGGGTAGTGTTATTTACTGGCAGTTTCACTGGTCTCCTGACTGCTTCTGTCACCTTAGCAGCACGTCGCGTTGGGCCATACACTTGGCTGGGCCAAGAGCAGAGCTAGAGCGATGAAAGCAGCAAAAAAACCCAAACCTGTTGGGTATCAGGTCCCCGGGCAAGGGGCTGAAATCAATATGGGATCAAAGAGAAGTCTTCGTGGAAAGATCTGGATCGTCCTGTCCTCTGCATGCTAATGCTTTGCACTGGACTTGGTCAAGTGCGCATGGTCTAACACCCACCCCGGGGACCAACGGGGCCTTACCCCGGGGGGCAGGCGTGGAAGGGCCCAAGGAGACACGTCCACACACGACTATTTCTGTGCCCTGCAGGAGATGAGCTCATGGAAAAACACGATTCTGCGAGGCTTGCCGAGGTGGCTAGGATATTTTTAGTGACACCGTTCACCCAGCGCTTCGCAGGGGCCATAGCAACTGCTCTATTTTGAGTGGTAAATATTGAGTGGACGGGGGGGAGGGCCGTAACTCTAGGAGGCGGCTAAAAACGACCCCGCGTCGTTATCGGAGAGCGTGAGACCAGGTGCCAGCAAGCCCCCTCTCGCCACGGGGGCGGCCAGCTCAGATGCTGGAGCCGACGGCCGCAGCATTCTCCTCGAGACCAGCTCGGTGTCAAGACTGTGCGGCCCCGCGAAGGGCGAGCCCTGCACTGACTCCCCAGGGCTTAATCCGCCCTGCACGCAGCACCATTTACACGCTGCTCCTGGTGTGTAAATGGGGCTTTGAGCTCAGCTTTAGTTCTGGTTGGGTGCTGAAGTGCAAGTGGCTGCTGTAAATCCCCAAGGACGGCCGGGCAGTTTCTGCCGGGTCTACCATGAGCCCGAAGACTGGCTGCTGGAGAGGTAGTTTGCCCCCAGTACCACAGCTGGCAGCAACTAAATCACTCACACATTGAGATACCCCTCAGCGCTCTGGGGCTGGTGCACCGAGGCCACATCACCAGGGACTTCCCACAAAGTTACCACAAACGCCGGGCATCCTGCTGCCTTCCCTCATACCTGAGAAAGCCCAGCCGGCAGCCTGTTCAGGTACGTGCCTCACACCCTTCACTCTCTACAGAGCACCCTGTGTCCCCTTTTAACCTCCAGCTAGGAAGCCTCTGCCCAGCACAGCTGGCACGGCTCGCCCGGGCTTCCAGTTACACAGGCAGCAGAGACGGCTTAGTGACCACATTTTGCAACCCTCAGGGGAGCTCAGCAGCCATTCGAATAAACACAGCGAGGCACTAAGCCCTGATGACATGCACATAGCCACGCAGCCCGCCCAACGTGCCCTGTGGAGCCCAGATGCCACCACTTTGCGAGTCCTTGACCACCTCGGTGAAGGATCTGTCACAGCCCCGCTCAACTCAGGCTCTAAGCATCTGCAGCTATGGCTTTTTATTATTTCACATGCTCCAGGAAAACTGGACATGATGAATATAAACAAGACCTCAGGGGCTCTCCATTAAGTGACTGTAATAACTCTTCCGGTGTCTTGCTTGGGCCCATTGGAGCTGTATTTTTTGGGGATTTCCAAGTGCAGCCCTTCCTGCCAGCTCCTGGCAGCATAATGCTTGACCCGGACTGCACATTTCAGAAATACAGTCCAGGATCTCCCCACCCCTTTAAAGAGCTGGGAGGGGGGGAAATCTGGGGGCTAGTGAACAGGGCTGAAGCCTGAGGCTGTCTGTCCCAGACCAGGAGGAGTCCCAGACACGGGTCGGTACCAGGCGCCATTGAGAAGAGGTCCCTTCCTGCCGCGGCGTGCCAGGTACCTGTCATTGGAAGAGAAATCCATTCCTAGGACAATGCTTTCCTCGGTGTCTTGCCGGCCGTTGGTGGACACCACCACCATGTATCGAGTGCGGTTCTGGTACGTGCTTTCCAGTCTTACAGCCTGAGGGGAGAAGAGGACAGAACAGCCGAGATCAGCAGACGTGCCAGCGTCATGCACACGGGCACTTGCGCGTATCACCCTTTCACACCGGACAGCAGGCATCAGTCACTGCCAGCCTGAGCTAGCAGGGCTGGCTGGCGCTAGCCTGGGCACTGAGGGACTAGAGCACCTCTCTTACACCGGGGTCTTGCCCTGATGTGCTCACTGCAGCCTGCTGACACGGGGCAGCTCCATTACAGCCAGGGGGTGTTGCCAAACACTGCTGGCAGCAGTCCACGGGGCGGTTGCTTTGGTCCTCTGGACCGTGCTTGCCCCAGAGAGGTGCTCCTGCCCCACGCAGCTCCTCACAGGCATCGGCTGTGGCTCCAGAGGAAGCAGCTGCGTCTCTCTTTCCAACAGAAGAGGGAAGAGCCGACCCTGCTCCGGAACTGGGGAGGGCTGATAAAATCCAGGCAGCCGGCTTGCCGGCTCCGCTGGCGCGCTTCTAACAGGCGCTGAGGCGACGGGACCGCCGTGTGAGCACCCGCTGCCAAGCCGGCAAGAACAAGCCGGCACTGAGCTCCAGCAAGACGACAGAAAGCCTAACGCACACGCCAGAAGCCAAGGGGAGCTACCAAGTTGCGTCTCCCAAGGGCAGGCTACGGTGTGCCCAAAGGAGGGGACGCAGCTAGCATGCATGTGCCTGCATGTGTTCAGCCTCGGTGGAGGCAGTGCGCTTTGCGCTTTCTGTGCTCGCTGGCTTCTGTCCCAAGAGGCTCGCAATGACTTTAATGGAAAAACCCACTTGAAGAGAAACCAAGGCTCCCACAAAGAAAGGAGATCTCTTAATTATGGTACACTGAGTCATGAGCTTGCTGTGGGCCGTCTGAGCCAGCCCAGAAACCGCGTGCATCCCGGGTGTTTATGCTGCCACTGGGAAACGGCTTCCTGAACTTCCCAAGGAACCTGGGAGGAGCAAAGGAGAACAAGGGGGGTGGAAATAAAACAGCTGTCACAACCCAGTCCCATCCCACTCACAGCACGGATACCTGGCTGCAATTAGATCCAGGACCTGAAACTCCCCATCATGCTTTTAAGCTTCTTGGTCTGCGGTTCTCAGGCAAAGGCCCAGGCACAGAGCCCATGTCTCACACCCTGCTCAGGCAGCAGGACCTGTATGCCTGCAACCCGTGGCACAGCTCACCCGTGCCCTGCTAGCTGGGGCAAGCTCCGATTTCCTGGTTAAACCCTCCAGGCAGTGGAGCGAAGCCTGTGGGTTTGGCAAAGGAGCTCCCTGCCCAAACTCTGTGCTCTTGAGAAGCGCAAGGGAGAACTGCAGCCCTGGTAGGGGGAGCGCCAGTGCAACAGCTAGCACAGCCGCCACAGGGCCGCGGCCCACCCCACCTTACAGGGGACTAGGCAGCTTGGAGCTCAACTCGACGTGGCACAACACAACGCTCTGTGCAGCGGAGGTAGTGCCCTGTCCCTGTTGCTCTAGGCTGAACCACACACCTCATTTGACCTCAGTCCTGGCCACGATGCACGTCTTCTATCTAGCAAAGTGGAGGACAAGTTTGCTGGGTCTGGGATGGCTGGCTGTCCAGGAGACAGTCTCTAGGACTTATGCAGGCCAGAGGGGGTGAGGAGCCTAAGCCACGTTGAAGAGTCCGTGGGAACCACGAAAATGGCGTGGGATTTTTCAGCCACAGAAGACGACAAAACCCAGAACAAAGACGAGCAGGAAGCCTCTGCTCCACAGAGCCCAGGGAGCCTGAGCCGCACGGGTTCCTTTCTAATTCCTCCTCCTGACCTGTCTGGCAGTCGGAGGATTAATGTAATCTAATTTACTACACTAAACCAATTTGGGTAGCGGTAATTAGAAGTGCGGCTTTAACGTAAGACCTTTCAGCGCCGGCTGCCAGGCAGGTGCTAAAGGTCATGTGGCCTCAAGTCACAGAAAGGATTTTTCTCCTAGAGATTTTTAAGGAAAAAGCAGATTTTTCTGGCTTGGCACTTGACACCCCATGACCACCTTCGCCTCTCCCCCTGCAATTTGTTATTTTAATGAACCGAGTGAAAAAGCTGCACTTTGCCCTGATAACAGAGCTGACCCTAGAGCATCTCTAAGCCCTTTGCAAACAATGAGAGCCTCGTTGTGCCTGTGAGGACAAGGTCCCCCGACCCCTGGTCCGGGAGATACATCCCACCTTCTGAATTAGAGTGTGGAGCAGCTCCTTAAGTGTTACCCCTCTTCACCGCCTGGGTGTGCGCTGTGCTGGTTCTCTCCAATTAGCTGCCCGCGCAAGGGGAGATTTTCTTCTTTAAGAGGAAGAGTGACTTGCATCACATGAAATCTACTGTAGTTATTCTTGGGCCCGGCTCCCCTTCCAAGCAGCCAGCTTAAATATGCACCGTGATTATAGTGCAATTCTACCTTCTGCTGTAACCTTGCTCTGCCAAACAGTTACATCATGCAGTATTTACCCAGCCAGAGGCAAACCACATTGTGCAGGTTCAAAGTCCACACAGAGGTCCCGCCCTTCCACCCCGGGCACAGAGCACAGAAATCTCTGCCACTGCGGAGGCAGCGGGCGTTTCTAAGCCGGAAGTTTTGGTTGGAGGCAGAGCAAGAGCCTGCGCCTGGAAACGGCTCCAAAGGCTCGGCCGTGCTTTAGCCCATTTCCTTCTCTCTCCTGGGCCTGCGCTGGAGCTGCCAAAGGGCCCAATGTGGTGCTCGTGGAAGCCTGTAGGAACAGTGCTCCCGGCTCCAGTGCCAAGAGGAGCAGTGCAATTGCCGCACAAGGCCTCCAAGACGTGCAGCTCGCTCTCCGTGCCGCCGACGCCGGAGGAGAAGAGAGCGGTTCTTGCGGCACTGTTTACATTCGGAGTCTCTGCCGTGTACGTTATTATCCAGGAGCCTCTTGCCGCTGCGTGCACCCCTCCTTTGTCCGCAATCAATGGGATTCAAGTGGTCTATTGAACTTAACCTCCTGCCAAATTTTAGCATTCTGAATTTAACACTGCACAAAAGGCTTTGTGTCTCGGCCCACAGAGTCCTCATTCAGCTACGAACAAGGCCAATTTGTCCCTACTCGCACAATGTGGCCACTGATATTGCTGAACAATTACTTGCTCAATAATTTCAAGCAGACTAATGCTGGGCCCAATCCGGCAAAATGCTGAGCACGCCGGACACCCCCCCACCTCGC